ACTCCAAGGTCAGCATCCACAAAGTGTCAATCTTTTATATATTTTAAATTATACATTTTGTCTGCAAATTTCCAGTCTAAAAATTATGTAATTGAGGTTTAAACTCCAGCTGGCAAAGATGGCTTTGCACGGTTTATAAGCCCTGAGGGCCTGGGCTTTTTCTCCTCAATCATTTAATATTGTTTAACCGAGCTTTAAGTATCAAGCGTACCTGATGAGGCTTGTTCTAGAAACACATGTTATGCGCACGGAAATCAGTACCGTACGTTTTTAGTACCCTACCGACGAAGTCGAAGGGGACTTTAGGTTTGCATTCTGTCCGTCTGTCTGTCCGTCCGTCCGTCTGTCCATCCGTCAGTCCGGCAACTCAGCTTTCCACACTTTTTTTCTTCGTTCTTGAAGATATTAACTTGATATTTGGTATATAGTTTTATCATGACAAGTTATAGATCAAGTTCGAATTTTGTTCCAGTCTGATGATTTAGTCCAGAGTTATGGTCCATGAAAAAACTCCATAACTAATGTTAGAGTACTATGTTAAACCATATAATCTGTACAAAGGGAGATAACTCATTTTTTAAAAGACATTCTTTGGTAAATTGTTTCAGGAATTTTGTGGCAGGATTACATGTTATTTTGTATAAACTAATTTTCTGAATGCTACATGTATATATTTATATATTTTTTTATTAAGTGAAATCCATCAATTAGATAATAATCTATTTTTATTAAGGTATATATTTCATTACATTACATTGTGTAGATAAAAGTTGTTGACACTTTATAGGTAAGTTACAAATCTATATTAGTTTGTGACAAATGAAAGAAAAAATATTTGGAACTATTAATTATATTTGATTGTAATTTGAAAATAGATATACATTGTATTACATCATATCTAATGTAAGAGTGTTATAGGTTTTCCACACTTTTTTCATCATGCTTGAAGATATTGATTGACAATTGGTAAATAGTTTTATCATGACAAGTTACAGATCAAGTTCAAACTTTTGTTTCGGTCTGATAATTTTGTGCAGAGTTAAGGTCCTTTGACTTGAAAAAATTCACTCATATATTCAGTTTTCCACGCTGTTTTAGTCATGCTTGAAGATATTGACTTGATATTTTCTTTTTGTTTACATCATGACAAGTTATAGAACAAGTTAGCATTTTGTTCCAGTATAATGATTTTTTATCCGGTAGGGGACTATGCATTGCCATGCAATACTCTCAGAATGCTTGTTTTAACACATTTTGGCATTTGAAAGACCATGGTTAGCTTTTGTCGTTACTTGCTATCTGTCCGTGTCCATCGTCTGTCGTAAATTTTTTCAAACATCTTCTACGAAACTACAGTACTTATTTTAACAAACTTTACCTGATTGGTCATTAGGGCGTTAGGTTATTGTATGTTGGAAGTATATGTTTGTCCAAAATCCTACATGGCTGTCAAACTGAAAATTGAACATACAGATACATGCAAGTAAGTGTCTAATATCTGAAAAACCATTATAAATAGAGAAAATTCGACGGAAAAGGGTTCAAAATGTCACGGTAAGCCTACTTTTCTATTATACCAAATTTCAGATGATCCTTCAATGATTTCATTGTCCTTAAATGGCGGTTGACCAATTTTATTTTTTTTTGCCAAACAACTTGAAACATATAATAGATAGACAGAAACTGATAACAGCAAAAATGATCAACAATACAAGATCTACAAAAAATTCAATATGACTGAAACAAGAAATTGACTTCTTGTTTATGGGTAATGTCTTAATAAAAATGACTAAATTTTAGCGTTTTTCTTATATCATTTTGAAATTTATAATTGAAAGAGACAGAAACCAATATAATTTTCCAAATATCTATGAAAAGGAAAACTATGCCTATGTATTTGTTAAACCCTCCAACAGCTTAATTAGCGAATAAGTTGGGCTTTCTTTTTTCTAGGTAATAAGAACTGGTTTAATAATTGCTTGTATATAAATCTTATGATTTCATTGTTATGCTACCCGAAAAAAGTACCTAAGCATATAATCATCGATTTGTCCGCCGTCTGTCCGTCCGGAACAAATGATTTCTAGGTGAAATCTTGAGTTTACTTTACTCAATTAGAGCTAATTTCCTAATGCTTGAAGATTAAGACTTTGGTTGGCTTGCTTGCTTGGTTTGTATTAAGGTTTGCTCAAGCATTTTAATTAAGATTGACATCTGCAAACAATATAAAATATGTGGAGTTAAACCTGTATACATTATACTTACATTTGATTGGATGTTATCCTGGATGTTAGGAACACCAAATTGTACATGTAAACATTACAAGACAATGTTAGCAAGGTTTAACTCCGCCCAATCTATATTGTTTGCAGATGTCAATCGTACAATGCTTGAGCAAACGTTTATAAAAACAAAGCAAGCAAGCCAACCAAAGTCTTAATCTACAAACATTAGGAAATTAGCTCTAAAACAAAACGTATCAAACTAATGGTAGATATATGGCGAAGAAAACAAAGCTTCTTGATTTTGGGGTCAACATGTCAATCGGTTCAAGGTCACTGTTACTAAAAATAGAGACTTTGAAATATATGCTTTCATGATGAAATCCTGAGTTTCCCTTGCTTAATTTGAATGAAACTAACAATGATAGGAATTATAGGAAAGAAGAAATTGCTTATTCATTTCAGTGTACTTAGATTAAAGTTCAAGGTCGCTGTTGCTATATTTAAGGCTACAGTTACTATAATATACAGTTATACATGTCCCTTGCGTGTGGTGTGTGTCGGTATATTTTACTGTTAGTGGGGTTTTTGCTTGTGAGAGAGCAGTCAACCTTTAGTATTTATCATTTGATTTAGTAGTTGCCGTTATTTGCTATCTGTCATATTTGTTTTGTCTCTTATTAATCAGGTCAATGGTTTTCTCGTTTGAATTGTTTCACATTTTATAATGTCGGGGCCTTTTATAGATTACTCATGATAGTACCTTGTGGGTTTGCTCATTGTTGAAGGTTGTACAGTGACATATAGTTGCTTACATCCACGACATTTGGATAGTTGTCTCATTGGCAATCACATTACCTTATTTTTATATGAAATTATTGTTCCTCGATATTTTTTATTTTAGAAACTTTAGAAGAAACTTTATTTTGGATGTGCCTCCAAGACCGGGTTAGCAAGGATAACAAACGTCAGAGTCAATTTTGATGTTAAAGGTAAAAGTCCCGGGGAGTATGTTTACGATGTTATTAGCGGGAAAGTTAAGTATACCGAATAATATTTTAATATTGTCTAGTTCTAAAATTATGCAAGTTTTGGTTTCTTTATTTCTTTATTTCATTAGCAAACAACAATCAACCTATCAATCTACTGATGGGTTGGATTGCTAACAATCTAATTAAAAACTGATTTCTCATCGCTCCCGTTTTCTGATATGTCGCGTGGGAGCCCATATCAGAAAACGGGAGCGATGAGAGATCGGTTTTCAATGAACACGTCTGAATCATGTGTAAATTTAAAGCGCTTTTCACTTGGATAGGACATGTTTGTGAATAGTTGTAGATCCGTATCATTTTGAAATAAAAATAAGAAGACGTGTTGTAATTACCATTGAGACATCTCCATCAGAGAAGAAGAAGACGTAGAAGTTAGCAACTTTAAAAACCGTTGTTGTATGATTGTTATTATATATAGATAATGTTGCAATCAAATAAAAATTGTCTCATTGAAAGTCGATTTATTGCAATTGAATGAATTCGTATAGGTATTTATTACATAATTTTCTCCACCTATCTAACAGGTAACATGTTTTACACGAACAATGAATCCTATTTGAATTACAAATAATTCTATATGAACATGATTTTCAAAACTTCGTGATACAGACGAACGAAGTCATGAGAATTCTTTAACAAATATTCTAATCAATGTTCAGAAAATATCCTTCTCATCCGTCTCGTCCAACTCGTCCTGAGTATGCATGAAATATTTGCCAGGCTAAGCAAATAACAATCAATTAATCGATAAATAACTGGTTTTCATTGGTCAATTTTTCATAGTGCATATAGCTATACATGCACTTGAAAATGTTATGGATAACCAAGGATTTGTATAGTGAGATATCACTATACAAATCCTTGGGATAACTATATAGTGAACTCTTGACAACTGCAAGTAACGGATCGAACAACCAACTTAAGCACTTCCAGAATATAGAAAATCTCCAAAAAGAAAAGAAAGCATGCTGTACAAAAATGAAACCATGCAGATAGCCGAAATGAATATATGAAAAGGAGAGGCGAGGAACACTTTAACCCAAACATATAAATACTCTTACTTTTTTTAACAAATTTTGTATGATTGCAGGTTTTTGTAGTTTCTGATAGTTCATTAAAAAATTGCTCATACTAAGGGGTGGTTTGCAGCTTAATATAGACATTTGCCTGTCACTAAAATTAGGACCGTTTGGTTACGCATAGTTGTTTCATGAACTTATGCTCTACTTCTCCTTTCATTAAAATATGCTTTCAAATTGATTGAAAAAAATATGCCAGTTTACAAGAAGAAGACCTAAAATGATTTTCAACAACAAACAAGGAATTCGGTTATCTTTATCATATTGGTTTTACCCCTTGATAACATGATTGTCGACAGAACTTGAGAAATCAATAATTAAACCACATTGATATACAACAAATGTGTATTGAATATTTGAACATTTAATTTTAACTGAATGGCATTTAACCAAGTATTTAAATAGGTGTTATGCTTTATTCAAGACAATGTTTGTTGTTCAGATAATTTCTTTTAATTGAAATTAATCACATACAGTTATTGAACTGGCAAATTTACAAGTATACGTGTCAATGTTTCACCCCATTACCAAACATTTTAGCATTAATTAAGAAATTTAAATAGAAAGCAATTTTTAAGCATGACAACATTTTATTTTTTTACATTTGAAGTCTAAGTGTTGCCTTAAGTGAATTATTCAAACTATTGATTATGTTTGTATTGTAATATACATGTATTAGCTCTCGCAAGTCGCATAGCAACTGTCGAGCCCTTTAATCCAGTGTGTGCATACATGAACACCGGAAGCTAAAACGAATGTAGAGGTGTTTTAGTTGAATAATTATAGTGTTGTTGGACCATTTATACGATATGGAGTTAACACAGCGACCTAGGACCACCGAGTAAGTAATTAACTGTAGGAAATTAATTTGTTTCATCGGAAATTGAAATTAACACAGTTCAGACAAAAAATAAACGAAAAGACAATTTTATATAGGGATGCATAACTCAGTTGTTTTGGACACCATATCTTAAAAATGCAGTAAGGTATCTTAAATGTTTGTTTTGCAAAGAAAATATAAATGGTAGATATACTAGCACAAATACCACCTTAGTGGCCTATCCATATTGCTAAACGAAGTACCTATCTTTACTCCTGAGATTGACAGTATTGGTCACTTACTTTATAAAGTTAAAATGCAGACGTGTCGCTTAAATTGTTCTTTTTAAAAAACTGCAAACTTATGAATCTTAGAAAATTCGATTGGAAAAAAATGTTCATAAATCAAGAAAGACGATGCATTCGTTTTTAACATAAACAAGAAACGAATGGTAACAGAAATTTCGATTCTTAAATCGGTAATCTGCTTATCTGATTTCTAAAATATTACTTTCACTTCTTTCTTGAATGAGTACTAGCCATACCAATTGGTGACACTGTCACAAACTACCTCTAATAACTTGTATTTAAGTTTTGAGGTTTAACATCAGAGTAAATATAACGAAATCCACAATTCTAGATAATATATATACAAATTTTTAAACTGACCATATTCATATAATTATTTGTAACGAATAGATCAAAAACTTTATAAGGAAATTTATGGATAGCTAAGAATACCTTATTGAAGACGTCAGCAGATTCGTGTACTTAAATTTAGGTCAAGTAAAACCCCTTTTCGTGAATCTGTGACAGTCATAATTTTCCATTTATTTCGGGTGTCAAATTATAGTCCGTTTTCTATTCATTCATTTCATTCAATTTGTCATTGTCAATTGTCTAATTACTTAAACGTTCAATTTCTTGTCTTAATCCTTTGTTTGTATTTTTTTCGTTTCTAGCTAATTGCGTAATATTACATGTATAAGGTAAATCAAATAAGATTTACTGTGACTTGACTGTATGTGTTGCTCTCCAAATATTGCAATTCATTAAAAATTCTGACCAAATTGCAATTCGTTTTATAAAACCAAACTGTTCAACTGGTCAGAAATTTGAACAAACTACTGTAGAAAACCACAGTCAAGTCGTGAAAGTGCAAGGTGATTACATAAAGCATACTTACAATCCTATAAGACTTTAATTCCACTTCAATGCTATTACGAAAAATCAGTCTAACAATTTTTATACAAATTTCATTATTATTGTCATGCTAGAGGTGATAGGTAGTAAGTTTGAATTGCTATATAAAAACGTCCAAACTAAGCTTTCATACAATTACAATAAAATTTGAAATTAAATATAGGATTGTATGTATGCTTTATTTTGATCAAATTGCAATTCGGTCAGAATTTTGGATGAATTGCCATAGGTGGAGAGCAACACTAATTACAGTCAAGTCACAGTAATGAAGTGAACAAAACAGTCATACTTGGCCGTATATTTTTAGATATTGGTTTGATGTTGTTTCTTTCCCACATAAAGTGTTGATATATCGCATTTGTCTGCTCTTATAGCACTATAAGCAGTCGGGCAAAAATTTTTATAAGTAATTACTCTTATAGCAATTTAAAGTAATTTCCCTTAGAGCAAAAGCATTTTAAGACCCCCTAATATTACAAGATTGTCGGATACAAATACGTTGCTAAAGTCCCTCATAACACGTTCATAAAATAACATAACCTCGAGATTATAGATTTACTAGGACTTTAAACATTTTGATGATTGTAATCAGTGACCATAGATAAATTGATTTCGAAAACTGAAAATGCCCTCCACATGAGTATAAAATGTAATAAACTTCTTTGCATTTGTCGTCGTCTTTGAATGGAAATGCTCAAATCAGTTGTTGACCACTTTAAAATGTTGGTGAACATTTTCTTCCGATGTTAAACCTCACAACTTAAATACATGTTACAAGAGATAGTTTGTGACCAGTTTCACAATTTGCCCCAGCTTTGATTTATCAAATCATTGTTCCAGAAATTGCGACCAATTCTAATTTTTTGTTATTCAACTTGCTTTCTATTAAGCACCCCAGCGTGATTAGTTCCGTTGAAAAGTAACACGTTATAAATTTGGTGCGTTCGAAGCGCTTTTCTAGATTGACCTTCATTGCGAAAATTCATACCGAAACATTTGAAAGTCAATGATGTACAAATACATGAATATCTTAGCAATATGATTAAAAGTTACCTTAAAAGAATACTAATTTCCGCCTTAATGTACAAAACGTTTCTATTATTATCTAATCCTTAAACTGCACGTCTATGACGTTATAAACACCATTGCCATTGGTAACTATGCTTAAGTCATACATAATACGAAGTGATATAAGGGAAGACAATGGCTGTGTTTATTTGTTTGTTGATTTAATGTTTTAGTGTTATTTAAAACACTTGTATACTATGTCTGTTCGCAGCATGACGTTTTGGTCGAGATATGACCCAGTTCGACAGCCAAAAGGAAACACGGATCACTGGTCAAAGTTCAGACAACGAGTAAGTGATATTGTCAAGGAATTGTATATTTAAACTATATTCCTTGATATTGTTAATTATAAACCTTATTGTAAAGCTCTGTTTGCCATATGAGCCAATTAACTACAACAAAGACAACTTTCAGTTACTGCGAGTACTCTTAGATCGGTACCATGCATGTGCTTATTGGATTTTGTTAGGGATTTTTGTGTGCTTAAAGCTGATCTGATGAGCCGAGCCTTTTTCAAATTGATCATTTTTTATGCCCCCCCCCCCCCCCCCAGCAACTAAAAGTTGAGGGCATATTGTTTTACCCCTGTCCGTCCGTCCGTCCGTCCCATTATGGGTATATAGTTATTCCACATAACTCCTCCTACAGTTTGAATGCTAGGAAGTTTTCACTTTGCTGGCTGTTTGTACATATATTGAAGGTGTGCATGTGGTCAGGGTTTTGATTTTTATTAATATTTGCTCTTTTGGGAGATAGTTGAACATTGTCATTTTGGAGTATATACTCGCATAAGAGGTGCATAGAGTTTCCGGATAACTCCTACAGTAAACCATAGACCTATGTGCTCCCATGCTCAACTTTATATATTTTAAAATAACACTTTGCATCTGCGGGGGCATCATTTGTGTCTCCCAGACACAATAATATCTCAAAGAAAGGCCTACATTGACCAACCGAATTAGACTATTTACCGGATTTGTAATAACATAAGCAACACGACGGGTGCCACATGTAGAGCAGGATCTGCTTACCCTTCCGGAGCACCTGAGATCACCCTTAGTTTTTGGTGGGGTTCGTGTTGCTTAGTCTTTAGTTTTCTATGTTGTGTCATCTGTACTATTATTTGTCTGTTTGTCTTTTTATTTTTGGCCATGGCGTTGTCAGTTTGTTTTCGATCTATGAGTTTGACTGTCCCTCTGGTATCTTTCGTCCCTCTTTGACTTTGTTATAATACAGATACTTCTAAGTGGAGTGCAGGGGCATCACTTTGTCTAGTCTTATGTTGTTCTGTTACACCAATGCCCAGGTAAGAGGGGGGGAGGGGGGGGGTTCGGTATTGTCTTACAAACTGGTCAGTTTATACCCGTCACATGTGTGTGTCCCAAGTAAGGAGCATGTAATTCAATGATGGTTGTTGATTGCTGCTGCACCAACAACAACAGCAATGCACCAGTCGTATATAAATCTTGTTCATTGGCAATAGCATTAATCAGACCAGTGGTTTTCTTTTTTTCAATTATTACCAGGGCCTTTACGGACTATACGGTATGGGTTTTGCTCATTGTTGAAGGACGTGCATTGTCTTATACTAGTACTGTATATGTATATCGAATCAGGCTGAAATTTAAGCACAATCTAGAATATCTGTTAAGGTAAACTGGGTGTACAGAATATTTTGAACGCGAAACATAAGTATGCTATGCCATTAGCGACGACGGTGTACACTTATTGTTTTATATTTTAGAAAGTTGAAATATAGTGTGTAAGTAAACGCATTATGGTCTAGGTTTCAGTTCGATATGTCAGTTTTGCATGATTCCTATCGTCATAAAATGAGAATCTTAAGGGAAACCAAAAACAGTTGGACAGTCTATAACCTCCTCGGTCTCACTGAGAAGAAAAGGTAATAGAAATGTTTTGATGATACCGCATTTAAAAGAAGAATTTAATTAAAGGGAAAACATCCACAACCTTTTGTTAATCAAAATTTTAAATATTATGATATTGATGAAACAAGCATTTAAAAAAATATTAAAGTTGTATGTTTCGACAACCGTTAATCTCTCAAGAGAATGTTTCAAACGTTTGGTCTATACTTTGGTATAAATTCATATCTAATAAATATGGTACCGTCTTGAATATACATGTAATGTTTGCCCTTGTACGTAAAGCAATCCTCAATCACTCAATATTGTTTTTGATTTTAGCCCAATGCAGGGAATTAACCTCTCTTACCTGCACAAACGGGTTTTCGTCATAAAAGCGTTCTTGTCTTTTGACCGCCGGGGTTTAGACAGGTTGTAAAAAAAATTGAGAGACTTATAATAAAACAAAACTATCATTTACATCATGGAACATGTAAGGGGTTTTATTTTGAGCTGAGCCTCATTTGGACATGCTTTAAACACAGGCACTTGTCCTTGTTGTCTATGAAAAAAATACCTATATACTTTAATATAACAATGTTATATAAAGGTATATAGGGGAAAAAATCAGAGACAAGTGCCTGTGTATTTAAATAGGCTTCGGGGTTAAACTAGTATCTCGGGTAACAATATAGACACACTTAATGTGTAAGTGTGTGCTTCTGATCAGACAACTGTTGAGTTAAAAGCCAACCAGGCCTTGCGGTCATAAAAATTTCGAGCACGATTATAGTACTCAGACTCAGAAATCAACCAATCAAAATTTGGTGTTTCGAGCACACATTTTTGTACTCCGAGTACCGGGAGTAAAGTTTTATGACCGACACCCCGGGACGTTAACGTTTAACAAATTCTGTAATTAATGGTGTGAAAAAATACTAAATTGCTTATAAATTATAGATTATTTTCTATTGGCATTGCAAAGTATATTTTTGTGTACAGTGAATGCAGTGCAGTACATGCATATGTTATGCCTTAATGTATTTTTGAATTTGTCACACCGCAGAGAAATCCATTCTATATATCTTTAAAAAAAATTGTTTTATATTGATCATTTATTGTATTAATTCTATTTTTCAGACTAGTGTTTCAATGGGACCAAATGTTAGAGCTCAAGATTTGATGAGTAAGTACTTAAGTTATATTCATATACATATAAAAATAAGGAGATAAGGTATGATTGCCAATGAGACATTACTATATATCCACCAAATTTCAAATAAAGTGGATGTAAGCAAGTATAGGCAACCGTTCGGCCTTCACTTCAACAATGAGAAAAACCCATACCGTATAGTCGGCTGTAAAAGGCTCCGACATGAAAAATATGAAACAATTCAATTGAGAAATCTAACGGCCTAATTTATAACAAAACAATGAACGAAAATCAAATATGACAGACATGAACCAACGACAACCACTAAACTACAGGCTCCTGACTTGGGACAGGCACATAAAGAATGTGGTGGGGTTAAACATGTTTGTGAGCGCTCAACCCTCCCCATAACCTGGGACAGTGGTGTAACAGCACAACATAAGAACAAACTATAAAGATCAGTTGAAAAAGTCTTAACTCATCAGATCGATACAAAACAGAAAAATATCAAACATAAACGCAGACAGGACGTGGCAGGGTATTTATCCATCCCTTATCCCTAACAACAAAAAGGACACTAAGTACAGATCTGAGAGTACTCGCAGTTACTGATAGTTAGTTCAAAGCCAATAACAACTAATGAAAAAAATCATGTATCTGAACTAAAATATCAATCAGTACACATCCAACATCCAATGGATTTAGTAGAAAGACGTCATTAACAGTCAGAGAAAAACATGACCTTGTGCAATGCCAAAATGAAGGTATTGACAGATTGTTGTACCGTTAAAATGCATATGTGTATAACAAAACTATTTAGTATATATATGATTTTAATTTACTGATAACAAAATCAATATTTATACCAACAAGTAATAGCTTTTCTAAAAAAGCTAGCCGTCCCTTAGCTGATGAAAGTGGAAAGTGTTCTCGCTTTGTAGATTAATTCATTCAGAATAGCCTTGCATATAAATCAGCAAATTTTACCAAACACGTTATGAAGCAGTATACCGTTCAATGTTGGGTGTCAAATAAGGTCCTTATCGTACTAATCCTTCAAAGCTCAACATACTGGATTGACATAATCTTTTGTGAGAGACCGTTCTTTTAAAATGTCAACAGTATTTTCGTATTTGAAATTTATAATTTTCTTTTATTTCTCTTTCTCTCATATAGCATATATATATATAGTATGAATGGTCAATAAACCTCAAAACAACTATTCAATTCTTTATTAACCAAATGTTTTACAACATATAGGTACATGTATAATTAATATATATACTAAATATAGATTACAAAAATATACGATCATAACAAAACAGACAGAAGTATTAAATACACATAAAAATAAATTCCTATAAAGACTACTAGAAGTTTGTTCTTGACCCTCCTCATTGTTTTAAGTAATATTCATTGTTTGCTATTAAGATATTTTTTTACGTGTATTCACAGCTTTTCTATATATCATAGCTAGACTTGGGAGGATTAAAAACTTAAAATATTGTAATGACATGTCCATTGTAGAAGACCGTAGGTTGAATTTTAGAAGTAAATTGTTTTGTTTGTTGTTTAATTGGGTTGCTGTCTAAACTTATTACGTATACTTCATATCTCCTTTAAAATCATTATGATAGAAATTAAGTATTGCTGAAATATGAAAGAATACATGTATAATTGCTTTCATCGTCTGAGAGTAGTTTTATATTCTTATATATATATTTCCCTTTCGATTTTTTTAGTCTTCTGTTCTTCATCGTCTGCTATTTTGATAGGGAGAGAGAGCTAGAAAACTAGAAAACGTTCAACCCAGCCCAAACCCTACCCTAAAGATCGGGGGGGGGGGGGGTGGGGGGTGGGGGGGGGGGGGACTTATCATACTTATCATTTGTAGTGAGAGGTAGGGATGAGCCACTAGAATAGGCCTATTTTAAGCTTCATGATATTTGATGAGGTCGAGAAATTTAGGTGATATTTAAGCTAAGTCATGGTTGAAGATTGAATCTGAAACTAATCAGATGTCGATACTTTTTTTCAAATGCAATTAAAATCACTGTCGTAAATGCTTTATATATTTGTCAAGCAATGTATCCCATATGATGAAATAGCGTAACCATGCATCATAGCTATGTGAAGACATACTTATTGTAATAAAATATTTGATCGCTATAGGGTATTTTCCTTTTACCAGACTGAGACATATATATGTGCTTTTACCATAAAAAGGTCGCACCCTCCTTTCCGAGATAAAAATTCCCGTTTAAATTAATATTTAATCGAACATATCTCCCTTTTAGTCATTTTTTGATTATCGCTTTTGGATTATCTTACTAAGTATAAATATTTATAATCTAGGCCAAGGACGTATATTAGAGTGTTAGTTATACGTCCTTGTCTAGGCTAAAAAAAAGCACGATGTTTTCATAAGTATGCTTTCGTGTACAAGATGTACGTAACAGTGAGCGACTGGATAGAACGTTGTTTACAATATTTCAGTAGTTTCGGCTATTTACAGATTTGCATGATTAGTAACCAGGCAAAATCTAATTGCTAAAATAGAGAGTTCAATTCCGACACTTTACGGGATCAAAAGACATTTACTAGGTTTCGAATTGCATGCTCGACGCGAATATTTCCACGCACCCTGCATCGTAAATTATTTACAACTCCTGAATTGTACTGTAAACATAACTTGTCAACCTAATCCTTATAGTTCCTAACCTAAATGACGATGACGGTTTCTCAGATTTTTATGAAGTTTTGCATGCTACTAGAGCACCAGAAACTGCATATGAACATCGAAAAATTAGTACATGTTAATGTATCTCATTGAATATCATATAGTGTAAAAAAAAATTGAAATGGAAAAAAAAAGTGTGTTGCGAAATTCTATGTGACCCTCTAAACACTTTAGTTCGGTGATATGTGTTGCCTTCTGAACAAACACATTAAAAACCCTGAAGAATATTTAATATGATATATACCAAGAAATTTGTTTTACATGCACACGTATAAAAATTTCGGTTTTTAACCAACGCAATCATAGGTTTGAACGTTGTTTTCAATTTAGACTTGTTTATATATATATATATATGCATATAAGTCTTTTTTTATCTTTTGGAAAATGTTGTTTGTGCTGTATTTAAACCACTCTACCAAGAAATTTGTTTTGCATGCATACGTATAAAAATTGCGATTTTTATCCAACGCAATCATAGGTTTGAACGTTGTTTTCAATTTAGACTTGCACATATATATTCGGAAAGTATAAATCTTATTATTTATTTTTTATATATCATATTCGGTTTCCCGGCTTGCCCTAGTTGCTTGCAGAATTTCACGAAAATCTCTTTATTGTTTACATGTTAGCTTAAACAATACAAAGCAACAACACAACAAAAAACAACAAAACAAAACGAAGAATAAAAAAAATCGAATAATAAACGTTTAAACAACGAAAAAAGTAACAACAACAAAAATCGCATGTCAAAGTAATCGTTTTACAAAAACATTCTTCAATGTCTCTTATTTTTTATCAAAGCATGTTTGCAAATAAAATCCACTGGTTTCTTATAAGAAATGGTCTGAAATTTTGGAGAATTAAAGATATGAGTTGTGCAGTTGAAAATTTTCAAATCAGCCAAATTAGTTCCTGACTAGACTTCAGGAAAAATCAAAATGTTTTATTAAATTATAACTCCTTGAGTGTTGGCGAAGTTTGATATTTTTAGCCCTGTGAGTTTAGATACAGTGCACCTTTTCAAACTTTAACTTGAGTGCTCACACGTTTCAACAGGTTTCTTGTTTAAAAAAGGCTTTCATATTTTGGAATATCCAATATTGCTTTTGGTCGTATGATTTGAATCCAGAATGCATCTTCTGCAGTTGGAAAACCTAATCTAAACGTCTTCAACAGAATGTCCAAACACTTCAATAGCTTAACTTTCTTTGCAGTGGTTGGAAATAAACTCATCATATATACCAGGATTCAAATTTTGTACGCCAGACGCGCGTTTCTTCTACAAACAACTCATCAGTGACGCTCGAACCAAAAAAGTTTAAATAACCAAATAACGTACGAAGTTGAAGAGCATTGAGGACCCAAAATGCAAAATTGAACTTTGAATAATAAATAAACTGAAAACGCATGACATAAATCGTCGATTAAAAAAACTATCTGGACCTACATTTTACAAATAGTGGCACTGTGGCATGGCTCATTATAGCTGTATTGCAAAATTATTTTAAACGTAATTTATTTGAGGTTATTATTACAAACTAATCTACAAATAGTTATTTTTTATGAATATTTGATCTTCACTTGTAGGTCTTGGAGGAGCAGACTTCATGCAGATGAAACCAAAAAGAGGTATTAATAAAAATTTCCTCCGAAATTCTTACAGCGAAAGAGCAAAGGAAGGATTCAGATACTGGTTGATAGAACCACCAAAACCAACAAATTGTAAGTTTTAGTTCCAGATCTAGGTTTTTATGATATATATATATATGTGTGTGGTGTGATTGCCAAAGAGACTAATATCCACCAGAGTTCAAATGACGTGGATGTAAGCGATTATTGAATTAATCAACGACTATTCTTGGAAATATTTGTAAACCGCGGGACATTTCTTTGACATTATTGGTATAACTACGTTATTATTCATAATGCATTTAGAAGACTTTTAAAGGTAAACATAAGTCCACTTTGCGCTAGATATGACATGAAGGATTTTTTTCAAATTTTATCGATTTTTTGTGAGCGTAATTCAGTATGAAACAAAGGAATGGTGACCTGAACTGCTCTTTGAAGTTACTTATAGTAGAGTTCAATGATAAACGAGTTAACTTTTTTTATGTCAAAATCACAAGTATGATTTGCCAAACAATAAACAAAAAATAGAATAATCTGCAGTATTTTAAAGTAAATTCTTTTGACATTTAGATAATCAAGGTTATTGATAGTACACTTGTTTCAAGATAATTATACTCAGATGACATGTGATGGATTATGTCATCCAGGTGCATCTTGTTATAGAACGTGGATCAAAACCAGGATGTGCATTCTTTTTAACTTAAAAATTCATTTATTGAAATTATACATACTTTGGTCATTTTGATGTGAAAATATATTATTTTTAAGCAAAAAATCGTCGAAAAAAAATTCGCCTCGCTTTTACGGCTCTACATTATAGATTCCGTTTCCCTTTCAAAAATCCAAAATCCACACCTTATATATTTGTATAGCAAGATAACTTCAAAATTCTTCTAGAGAATATGTTTTTAAAGCGTTATCTCCTAATTGGTTAACTGTGTATCATAGTTTATAAAAATAATTTTATATTACAGTTGGAAAGTACGGTATTGGTTCATACAAGACAGTTCTGGGAATAGGAAATGCACCAAGGACATAATCGTTGGAAATATCACGTAGTCTTTCGTTCTTCGAGTCACTTTTGGTCATTTTTAAGACTAGTTTTTACCATGACGTTCTTTTTTGTCAATCATTCATACCAAAGCAGTATTAGCATATAATATGTGTTGTTGAAATAGACAAATAGAGTCGTTATTTTTATATTTGTTATCAATTCCATATTTATTGTAAAAAATAAAAATAAAAATTGTGTTTAATTTATTCAAGACAGACTAAAAATTCCAAGGGTTTGGTAAGTACTGAATGCTCATGTCAAAAAAGATGTCACTAAAAAGTGGTTCAGACGCACCAAATCTATAAAGTATCATGTATTTTCTTTTCCCCACAAATATGCCAAGTTACAGAAAATATATTTTTTTTGCCATGTCGTTTTCAGTTTATTTTCGATTAATGAGTTTGAATGTCCCCAAGACGGTTTTAAAGTTTTCCTATTTGCTTCAGTACATTTAATTGTCGTGCAGTCTACACAGCTACTCATAATATAACACTAAATTTAAATTTAGTTTGATGAAACCTTTCATCCTAGTTCGAGAATACCGTGGACGCCTGCCGGTCTTTTTATAACTTGTTCGGGCCGTTCCGTGATTAGTCTCAAGTTAACCGAGAGGCCGTTGCAATCCTTGATTATATATACTATCAACTTGCAATGAAGTCATAATTTCACCTTTTCTGAATATTTGGTAAGTTTAAAAAAAAGGGTATTATCATCTGCACATTATATAAATCACACGTTTTTACAAACAAAAATACATCATTGATGACAATTATCTAATCTCATCTAACTTATCTTTAAATCCCTTTGTAAAGGAACCATATTTGCACACGGAGAACATGTGCTCTCTTTATATACAGTGTTGGTACTCTCTCCACTATTCGATATATTTTGTGCACATATTTACAACAAAATCCTTCCCATACACGATTCGCATTATATTACATTTACAGGGGCATTAGCAATCAAATTCATCTTCACTGATTTGACTCTAATTCTCATATTTGATTTATAGCATACTAAAACGTATGATCTAAATTATAAAAAGTCTAAAATAAACAATTTAAAATGCATGGGCTCGATAATATGCATGATCTTTTCGTGTGTATTTTAGTCTAGACGCCATCTAATTAAACATCGAGGTGACCCACGAAGACTACCGACGGTCATATAACCAGATATAAACATAAATATAGATATAAATAGATAGTGAAGTCGTGCAATTGGATTTTTCTAGGTCTGCTTGATTTCATATTATAGGTAAAAATTTATGTTAACCATCGTTTTTACTTGTATAAGAATGAGTTTTTGTGGATCAAATCAGTCAATCAAATGATTTACCCTTGTTTCACTTTCAATGTTTACATTCTTTTCCTTTTAATAACTGAACACACCTAATTCATGCGTAACCCATCTCTAGCTAAGGGGTTAAATTGAAGGTCACATGAATACGGATTCTATGAGGTCAAATTATTCACTTGCAAGTGAATAATTCATCAGCGATGTTTCTGATCTTATTTTGACAAAATTGAACCAAACTGGCTGCTAAAAGCGAATGATTGTTTCACTTTCATTAAAATAATTGAACAAAAAAAACATATGTTAATTTTTTGTTATATCTCGTAGCTAATGCCCCTTTAATAATCATGTGCAGTCAAGAAAAGTTTAAAAATTGTATTTACATTTGCTTGTACTCTTCAAGGCTAGACCAAGTTACCCCCAACCAACCCATCCCTTATAAATGTTCTTTAATCGTGTTAAAATAACAGGTTTACTTGTTTTATATACCATTTGCAGTAGATTCACTACTGCATATCCAATCCACAGACCATGTTGTAGCAGTTTTAATTTTACTGTCAATCTCGCTGTATCAAAAGCAGTGGCCCAGTTTTCAGCTGTTATGAAATTGAGTTTATATGATGACAGTTACTGTACTATTGACCTGTTCCAATGACTGTATATTGTCTTCTTTATATTTAAAGTGTTAAGTTTTCTTAACTCGGTTGGTCAAGTACCAGCTGGCCTCCTGTAGGTCAAACTCCTTAGCATATGCTTGATAGCAACGGGCCAACTAGAACTTCCGTGGAATCTTCCCCCAAGTAGGCTATAGACGTTTTTATATTTTCTTCTACATTTGCTGTCATGTTGCCTTTGAGTGATGTTGTTCTGATGATTGCTATATTTGTGGCTTTCTCTACTGATAGCATACTGCCGGGCACCATTTTAAAGATCTGGTTGTTAGTTCCTGTTTACGTTGTGCTGTTTCACGTTTGGACTTGTTTATGACTACACATTTTGTGGGTTGTTGTTCTTTCGGAATGAGTAGTTTTTCAGTAACAGATAATGCATAAATAATATGCTCTAACCTATTGTTAGGCCATTCGACTCTTAAACCTGGACAAGGGACGCAGACACCATACCTTAGTGTTGGACAAGTCTACCCTCCAAGGTGGACGCTAATAGTGACGTCATACCCTTGAAAGTGGACGGCACACCCAAGTGGACCCCTTTTGTCGGAATACTTGAAAATCTCTTTCACACTTCCAGACACTAGTTCTGGTTCAGGACTTGAGACCTGCTACACATACATGTAGGTGGTTTAAGATTTTTTTTATTATTATTTTTTTAATGGATACCCTTGAAAGGACGGCGCACACTTTAAAACGGGAACGGATCCTTCATAGCTTAAAACGCTTACCCTTTAACTTAACACCTTTATACCCCTGAACCATAGAGCCTGTAATAGTTCTAAAGAGGAATAGTTTATAATGCACAAGTAAAATTCTTTAAAAGGGCCGTTATGACATTCCCATCAATGATGGGAAAATCGTAGAAACTGTAACATGGTGACCAACTATCTCCACATAGCAGGTTATTTGGGTAGTCGAAATCCAGCTACAATCTCTATATGTTACACCAACCAACTAATGGAATTTAAACACCAGCTTCCTAAATTCATGAACTCCCTGACGAGTCTCCATACTCATTAATTCTTTTGTCACTCTCTTCAGACAGCTTTCCGTGGTGTCCTCGTCCCTAAAGACTATACTTCAACATGGCGAGTGAAAATGTGGTTCCTAGCAATATACAACTGCGCTTTGGAAATGAGCAACTTTTAGTTTCAAAAACATCAAAAGTTTGAAATAGAGGTGGAGTTATATATATCCCACTCAAAGCTTTCAGTAAAACACAGAAGGCGTGACTTAATTTTTCTAAACTGATTTTATATTGAGAACATGCTCAAAGCACTTAAGTAAACAAAATCAAAACATCTGGAAAAATTATTAATATCGGTACAGGTTTATGAAATACGTGTATTATTAATTGTGCTGATAAATAATCACCAGTTAACGAGAAGACACTGAATGTTTATCTCTTTAATAATTCATGTACACATTGTTGCTTTCCGATTTCTTTGATCCACTTAAATAATACAAGTCATATGGTCATATACAGTATTAAAATTACACCCCAAATAATTAGCTAAATGGATGGAGCACTATTTCATCTGGTTATAGACTTGTCCAACACTAAGGTATGGTATCTGCGTCCCTTGTCCAGGTTGAAGAGTCGAATGGTCCAACAGTAGGGTATGGCGTCCGCGTCCAGGGTCCGGATTTTTGGGGTCGAATGAACCAACACTAGGGTATGGCGTCCGCGTCCACGTTTAAGGGTAGACTTGTCCAACACAAGGATATGGCGTCCGCGTCCAGTGTCTAGGTTTTGGGGGTCGAAACAATCATATATCACTACTATTAATTCTACAAATATAATTTTGAATGGGCGTTTATCATTGAAAATGAAAACACTTTGAAAATATTCAGGAACATGTGAATTTACAAGCGTTTATCCGTTTGAAATTCGGCAAAGCTAAGTCAATTAAGAAACAAGAAGCTGCAATGCATGGGGTGCATTATATGTCTCATTCAACGAATGTGGAAAAAAGTCGTGGATAAACAGTCACAGAAAAAAGGTTACAGGAAATAAAGTCACAATAAAAAAAAAGTAAATTTAGTATATTAATTTTTTTAATAAATATACTTTTTAATTGGTTGTTATTAAGATGAAGGTAGAAACATGTATATGTATTACATGTCCTTATAGTGTTTGGAAAACGTCACAGAAAATTTATTTGTGAAATTGTATGTAGTAAATTATATCAACTGAATATTGTTTCAACATCTTTTAATGTTAGAATATAGGGGTGTGATGGTATTTCAATGTTAATAGTTGTCGTTTGTTGATGTGGTTCATAAGTATTTCTCGTTTCTCGTTTTTTATATAGATTAGACCGTTGGTTTTCCCGTTTGAATGGTTTTACACTAGTAATTTTTGGGGCCCTTTATAGCTTGCTGTTCGGTGTGAGCCAAGGCTCCGTGTTGAAGACCGTACTTTGACCTATAATGGTTTACTTTTATAGATTTTGACTTTGATGGAGAGTTGTCTCATTGGCACTCATACCACATCTTCTTATATCTATCTTTGTACTTATTACGATTTAATCAATTTTCCAAGACTAAAACACAACATTAATTGTCCATGAAAATGTCTATTTTATAAAACAATTCAACAGATGGTTATTTACTTATCAACTGACTTCAATTTACTATCTACATTTCCTGTCAATCGTCTGTCGTCTGGACAGACTGAGACTACTGTTATAGTAGTCTCAGGGACAGATTAACACTTTTAAAAAACCTTAAAAAATATACTTTTTAAACTAATACAGTATGTCATAAATCTGCCATTGAAAGTATGTATAACTTTAAAAGAAGAGAAATGGAACGAAAAACTATCAGGCATTCGTAAAAAAGTGGACATTATTTCCATTTAGGTTTGTGACCTTTTTTTCCTACCATCAAATTCAAAGCCAGTGTGACTTTTCCTGTAACTTTTTTCCGTTTACCCCTTCAACACCTAAAATCCCACAGGCAAATGTTTCAATTTCCCTGAAAGAAAGCAAAATTAATAAGTTCACTTGATTAAGGCACGAAAAATCAAATTTGTTTGCCAAACGAATGATTTCTTTTACAGTATCGGGGACATATTGTTTTAGGGAAATCACTTTTTAAGAAGAATCGGATTTGGAATACCGAATTTAGTTCTTTTTTACACCGGAAATTAGGATACGTCACCATGTCAAGAGAAAATCTAAAATCTGGCTAAAATTGACGTGGCAGACAACTAAAATACGTTTGATACCAAACAAAGAACGTCAAAAAGAGAAAGGGGACACGACACAGCCAAATTTGTGATTAGCTACATTCCCTTGATTCTTTTCAAAGCTTATTGAATCATGGGATTGACGATTTCAAACGTATTTAACCGTCTCTTCGGTAAAAAACAAATGAGAATATTGATGGGTAAGATGCACTTTAAATCATCTTTATTTTTAAACTTTACGGGATTGAAGCTTTGTTGATTCCTTAATTCAATCTTTACTGCGATACAACTTCCTTTGGTAATTACGTCGCCCATAATAATTAATAAGAGACAGGTGTTACCTGTTGAAATTATATGACGATGTCCCTATTAGTATTATGATATATAATATAAAGTAGATTTTTGGAATAGCAGCACTTGTTGACAAAAGCAGATATATATATAGTACCAGAGATTCGCAAGTATTATATCTCTTCAATTTAATCCCTTTTTGGATTCTGAGTCCGTAGCAATTTTTTTATTTAGCTGCCACAGAATTCCTTATCAAGTCCTATCAAGTCTATTCGTGAAAATATTTGCCAACTACAATGTACCTCTCCTCTAACCAATGCCTTTTACACCTACAGCACCATTTCATACACCTGAAGTAAGAGACCTAATATAACTTGTAATATCATGAATATTGAATCCCATTGCTCATGAAACCCACATCTCTAAGCTACATTTTGTACATGTCATGTGTACATGTATAATCAGCATTTTGATAAATGAACAATAAATTATAATAATAATTTTAATTCCAGTTTACATTTATGAATGCTGTAAAATTATTTTACAAAGGCAACAATTACATGTTTATCCAAAACATCAATAGGTAGTAATCAGTCCTCAATGTATTTATTGGATGCTTCCCATCTACATTTGTAGTTTGAAGGGCTCTGAATAAAATCAAAGATTATTTTAATTTTTTGTTTGTTTTCAAAACTGCTTTCTTTTAAATTTGTGTTCCATCATTAAAAGTTAAAATGTAAAACTGTGTTTTTAACAGGACCGTTAAAACAGTTGTGTATAGGTAGTACCTACTTCAAAACAAAGAAACAATCGTTTATAAATGTTGGAAAAGCAAATCATTCAAGCGACATGTGAAGCCATTGACCACTCAATTTTATTAAACCATACCATTAACACCTTTTATTGATTAGTTTATTTCTGATAGCTATCAACTGCCTGTTGTTTTTATACGCCCGTTTACGGGAAGTATTATGGTATACCTCTGTCCGTCTGTCCATCCGTCCGTCGTCAACATGTCGGACATTAACTCAAAAACGCTTTAACCAATTTGCATAAAACTTTGGTGAATTGTTTATATCTATTGACGTGAGCTCCCTTTTGTTTTTTATAAATTTAAGATTTTACGTTACCGAGTTAAGGGGTTTTATTCATTAAAAAAAGGGGGATTTTCAAGTTTTCAGACAATAACTCAAGAATGGCCAATGCTTTCACCAACTTGCAAGAAATTGTGGTGAATTGTTTATACCTATTGATGTAAGCTCTGTTTAGAATTTTATAAATTTTACATTTTACATTTCTGAGTTATGGGGTTTTATTCATTAAAAAAGGGGGGATTTTCCAGTTTTCGGACAATAACTCAAAAATGCTGTCAGCAATTCTCATGAAACTTTGGTGAATTGTTTATATCTATTGATTTAAGCTCCCTTTACATTTTCATAAATTTCTAATATGACATTGAGAATTAATTGAACTTTATTTGTTTATAGTCTGACAACAGATTTACTAAGTAACAGCAAGAAATCTTTAATTGAATATAAATCAATTCATATAACCAATTTCAAGTTCTTTGACTACATTTATTCAGAAACCTATAATATGTCAAATATTTAATACTGTTTTACAATCCAAATTCAGACCTGTATCAAGCTTGAATATTGTGTCCATTTTTGCCCCAACTGTTCAGGGTTGGACCTCTGCAGGCGTATCCAGCTGCGCTCAGCGAAGCAGTTTATTTACAATCAGCTGATTATTATTGATTTTCTGTCTAAATCATAACACATGGCAAGTTCAAGGTAAAACTCCAAGTGTTGATAAAGAAGGGAAAAAAGTCTGAGAAGCCAGACACATTAAAAACAGATGGACGAAGTCAAACAGTTATGAATGTATTTCTGTATATATTTTTTTTTGCGTCACAACTCTGTTGTTTTCCCAATTGTGAAAAAAAATTTATTTTATTTTATTCAGAATCATCTTTTGCAAAAAATGTACAGCTATCCACTCAAATAATTCGAGATTTAATTTAACTCGCTTCATATGCTAATATTTAGGGGATGCAACTCCACTGAGGATGTTTATATAGAAATTATATAATACTGTATTTAATAGTTTTGCTTTTTGGAGTATAATTTTGAAGTTCTTATCTTAGTCCATAATTAAATTTTTAGAATTCTGTGGTATATCTGTGATGTTCTGTATTAAAAGGCACTCCACATAAAACTTTAAGGCTGTTGAGACAACTTTAACATGTATGACAATCCATTGGAACATCTTGTACATTTAACATGTTTAATATGTTTGTATTTGTCTAAGGGGCAGAAATCTTCTGAATAGTTATTTAAACCCTGTTTTGTATATTTTCCAGTTATTATATATGACATTGTCTATTAATCATTTATTTGTTATAGAACAAAATATACACAATGGTTGTTAACTAATTATTTTATTTTATTTTTAGTTGGATTGGATGCTGCAGGAAAAACAACCATTTTGTATAAATTAAAGCTTGGAGAAATTGTGACAACAATTCCAACTATAGGTACATGTACTTGTAGTTTATAGTTTTAATGTTAATTTTTATGAGATTTTATTATGTAAATCCATATTCCCTATATTTCATGAAATTGTATTTGACAATCAGAAGTCATAATTTACACGTTAATAATGTTAAAAAAGAGGTTGAAGATACCAAAATGTTTGCGGTTGTAAAAATTTATATCTTTGTCTTTGTCCGAAGACATTTAGTTTCCAGACAATAACTTGAGTATATGTGTATTGATCTCTATGAAATTGTACCATATGGTTCCATACCACAATAGGAAAGTTGGGATTAATTTTGGGGGTTGTTATTCTTTCTGTTTAGGAATTAAGGGCCAGTTTCTTGTTTAAGGTTCCATACCTCTAAACATGCTAAAGGAAAGTTGGCATTGATTTTGGGGGTAATGACCAAAACTGTTCAGGAATTAGGGGCCCAAAAACTAGAATTTTCTGGTTTCCGGACATTAACTTGAGTATAAGTCTATTGATCTCTATGAAATTGTACCACAAACTTCCATACCTTAAAAGGAATGTTGGATTAATTTGAGGGGTACCTGTATCAATGGCGCTAACTGCTTAGGGAAAAAGGGGCCAAAAACAACACTTTTCTAATATAAATTGCTTATCTCTTGACCAATTTCAATGGGGTTTAATTCAAAGTTTTTGAATTCTTGGGGTTCTTTAATATGCTGAATCTAACAGTCTATTTAGATCAAGTTTGAATTTTGGTGTCGTCACTTTTACGGTTCTAGAGTTATGCCCTTTAATAATGGAAAAATTGCTGAATTTTTCGTTTCCGTTCTGTAACTTAAGTTTGCCGTAACCAAATGTTATGAATTTATCCTTTTTTTTTTATTTATTATTTAGGATTCAATGTTGAAACAGTAGAGTACAAAAACATAAGTTTCACTGTGTGGGATGTTGGTGGTCAGGATAAAATAAGACCTTTGTGGAGACATTATTTCCAAAACACACAGGTATAGTATTGGAACTTACTACAGTTGGAAGAGATCTTCCAATTTTGTTTTCCTGTTTGATAAATGCATGTCCTTTAGATTTATTGATCAGGTATAGTATTGGAACTTACTACAGTTGGAAGAGATCTTCCAATTTTGTTTTCCTGTTTGATAAATGCATGTCCTTTAGATTTATTGATATACAATTTTCATAGGATTTGATCATTAAATAGTTTTAGAAGATTTTAAAACTGTATAAAACTTAAGCTCTTACAGTCCAAATTTTGTGGTGATGATATCAGTGTTCAAGGTACATGTATATAGACAATAATAGTGTCTTGACTTGACATATCAACGATATAAGGATTAGGCTTAGAAACGGGGAAATGCGAGGCTCTGCCGAGCTTTTCCCCGTTTCGGGCCGAATCCTTATATCGTTGATATGTCAAGTCAATACACTATTATTGTCTTTATACTGCAATGTAGAAAAACACATTTTCAATTGTTGTTTATTGTGTTATTGTTATTTATTTGATTTAAATATTGGAAAAAATCCCCCTTGAAAAAGGCCTCACATCTGGCGGAGAAACATACAGCACAATGAAATGTACATTAAATTACCTGTTGAAACCAATTGTTGGTGAACTAATTCGTTTGAGTATGAGTATGGACTTAAATATCAACAATAAGCATAAAACATAATGACTTATAGGTTTTAAACAAAAAATATTAACAAGTGAAATATGTTTTCCTAACAATTGTAAAAGAAACAAATTTGAGTCGTTCCACGCCTCGTTGTAAACATTGGAAACAAGGACAGGTTGAAGCGCTCGTCATGAATATTTAAATATAGTTTTGGCTCGACTATTTAAATATTCATGAGGAAAAGTGATAGCGGGTCAGTAACTGTATATGACCTAGAAATATACAGTCAACACATTTTGACTGCTCAAATAGAACGAGTGCAGTATAAATAAAAAAGTCCTGTCATCAGTAAAAGTATAACAGAAATACATGAGTGCATATTCACTGTTTTGATGAGCATATTTTTCATTACTTATTATAATGAGATGTCTCAAATGAATTTTTTGAAAGGAAACGAGAGAAAAAATGCTAATGAAAGCATAGTCACTTTATAATATGACCGCAAAAAAATTTTGCAGTCGTATATTGGTATGACGTTGGCGTCGTCGTTGTCGTCCGAAGACACATTGGTTTTCGCAATCTAACTTTAGTTTAAGTGAATGGATCTCTACGAAATTTTACCATAAGGTTCAATACCACAAAAGGAAGGTTGGGATTGATTTTGGGGGTTATGGTACCAACAGTTAAGGAATTAGGGGCCAAAAATAAGCATTTTTGTAACTTCCAGACATAACTTGCGTGTTAGTGTATGGATCTCTATGAAATTTTACCACAAGGCTCCATATCACAAAGGGAATGCTGGAATTGATCTTGGGGGTAATTGCCTCAAAATTTTAGGAATTTGGGGCCAAAAAAGGGGCAAAAAACAAGCATTTTTCTAGTTTCATGTCAATAACTTGTGTGTAAGTGTATGGATCTTTCTGAAATTGTACTAGAAGGTTCCATATCACAAAGGGAAAGCTGGAATTGAGTTTGGGGGTAATTGCCCATAACGTTTAGGAATAAGGGGCCAAAAATAAGCATTTTTCTAGTTTCCAGACAATAACTGATGTTCAAGTGTATGGATCTCTCTGAAATTGGTCTGCAAGGTACCATACCACAAAGGGAATGCTGGGATTGATTTTGGGGGTAATTGCCTCAAAATTTTAGGAATTAGGGGCAAAAAACAAGCATTTTTCTAGTTTCAGGACAATAACTTGTGTGTAAGTGTATGGATCTTTATGAAATTGTACTACAAGGTTCCATATCACAAAGGGAAAGCTGGTTTTGAGTTTGGGGGTAATTGGCCTAAATGTTTAGGAATTTGGGGCCAAAAAGGGGCCTAAAAACAAGCATTTTTTTGGTTTCCAGACAATAACTTGTGTTCAAGTGTATGGATCTCTCTGAAATTGTACTGCAAGGTACCATACTACAAAGGGAAGGCTGGGATTGAGTTTTGGGGTGATGAATCATAAGGGGGTTCAAAAAATTTGGGGGAGGGATTTTTTTTCCTTTTTTTTATCTTTAAAATTTTCCATTTTGAATTGGTTATTTCTGATTTATATATTAAAGCAAATAATAATGATATGGTTTGAATAGGTAAATTAAAAATTTTTAAGTTTTTAGACCACATTCATTCTGTGTCAGTAACCTATGCTGTGTCAAATATTTAATCACAATCCAAATTCAGTGCTGTATCAAGCTTGAATGTTGTGTCCATACTTGCCCCAACTGTTCAGGGTTCAACCTCTGCGGTCGTATCAAGCTGCGCCCAGCAGAGCATTTTATTTTTATATGCCTCCATATTTCCTATTTGGAGACAATTTTTCATTATGATGCATTATCTCTCTTATATCAAAATTTTGTTGAACATTCTATTGAAGAATACATGTAGCTCTGATGTAACAAAAACTATAGATATGTTCAATTCAAAAATAATTTCAGCAAAAGGTTCCTTATAGTTGTGGGATTGGGGGAACTAATATAGGGTGATGTACAATGTTATTATAAATGTTAATCTATAATTCAAGCGGCATAACATAATCTTATTGTTAAATTTTTTTTAGGGTCTTATATTTGTGGTGGATAGTAATGATAGAGAAAGAGCTGAAGAAGCACAGGAAGAACTTTGTAAAATGGTAATTTATTCTTTTAGTGGGTTTGGGAACAGTTTTTTGTGTTGCCTGGGACAAAAGTCACTGAAAGCAAAACATATACGTGTTGCTTATCCGATGGCATCAACAATTGTTAATTTTTCTCCTTAAGTCAGGTTGATAGGAATTACTTATGATAGATCAATGATATTTTCTATAAAGTTGCATTACTAGCAGTACATATCAGTTTGACGACTATGTCTAGGCCCTGCTCCCTATATAGCTAGGACCTAGCATGCATGGCTAAGGGGTGTTAGTTAGTTCACACTGAAATGTCAGTGAAAATAACCAGAACATAAGCCATGCCTGCATGTCTAACCCTCTAAATTTGGGTTAGTTTTCATCTTACATTTCTTAAGAATTTTCCAGAATTCAAAATTATTTAGCTTTTAGTGCAATTTTATCATTTTTGGAGAATTTTTTAAAAATTGCAATTTTGTGAAAATATGATTAACATTTAAATTCATTCAGTTTTGAATTATGGTATTCGGTTCAATAAGGTTCATATGATTTTTAGAAAAAAAAATCATACAGGAACCAGAAAAAGGCATTTTGTTTAATTCTTGCAAAATTTAGGAATGTTCATTTTTAACCGGACTTTTGAAGGAAAAATCATCGACCTTTGACTTGATTTAAAGGAAATTGCACTGTACAAATAATTGACGACCGGGCAAAAACAGCAAGTACAAATAATAAGCTTTCAATATTTCAATATAATGTAGCCGTATGTTAGATGGGTGCATTAAAGTCGTTAACTAAGTGTCTTTTTGAAAAAATGTTGCTAGCCTACATGTATATGGAGTTATGTGGTGTTAATGCCAGTGAGACAACTATCTTATCAAAGAACTAAGGGCAATGATGTAAACAATTAACTTCAACAATGAGATAAACCCCATACTGTACCTGTTTGGATGAGGAGGGGTACAGAGTTTGTTTGTATGTTAAGTATTATTATCTGGACTACCCTGATTTAAGAAAATCATTCCACCCTTTTTTGTTATCAGTCATTAAATTCAAAGCAAAACCTTTTGTCAATAGCCTTTTTATGAATTTGATTAATACAGTCTCCTGTAAGGTGTAATTCTTTTACCTAATAAGGAAAACTAGACCTCGTAAATATATTGACTACCTGTAGACAGCAATTGTCTTTAAAGCACTTCACACTTTGATTATATTAATTAAGTTCATTAAAATTACTGTGGTCATTTGAATTTATATTTTGTTGTAGTTGCAAGAAGACGAGTTAAGAGAAGCAGCATTACTGGTATTTGCTAATAAGCAAGATTTACCGAATGCTATGACAGCAGCTGAAATTACAGACAAATTAAAGTTAAATACATTTAGAGGCAGAACAGTAAGAGACTACCTTATACATGCAACACAATTTCTTCAGTTTGACTGAACACTTCTTACAGCACAGCTACCACATCAGGAAACCTTTAATTAGCCTGTTTATAACTTGCAAACGACGATTTATGATGAATGGCATCTGTTCAGGTTAATGCTGAGGCATCAACATTTCAAATTTCCTGATAGGTTTTTTTTTAGCTAAAAATCAAAAATCAAGATAAGCAACTTTTTGTAAAAATATCTCTTTGGGAGAGTAACCCTTTATTATTTTAGGTCACTAGGTCAAAAGTCAATGTCACAGCAATTATTGATAGACGTTAAATTGTGCACAACTCCATTTCCATATGAAATCTCTTAGAATTGTACATCAAATCTCAACCTGGCATATAATTTACCAACTATTAGTACGGCCTTCAACAATAAGCAAAACCCTGCATACTGCACACCAATTTATATAAGGCCCCAATTGGCAAATGTAAAACAATTCAAATGATAAAACTAACAGTCTGATTTATGTACAAACTAAAAAAAAATATGATATACAGCAATAAACGGCATATGGAAGGTACAATCTGTTCTTGACCTTATTTTCATGGTTCATTGTCTAATAATAAGTTTTTGTGTGTTGATCTGTTTCTCAGATACTATAAGCAATAGCTCATCTATATTAATATATGGAATGACTGTAAGGTGTAAATGTCTGTCTGGCAGGTACCATATGGCCGTGACTTCATTTTCATGGTTCATTGATCAATGTTAAGTTTCTGTAATTTGCCCCTTTTCTTAGATACTGAAAGCAATAGGTCTTTTATATTTGGCTCATGAAATGATTATAATGTGTACATATCTCTGGCAGATTTCATCTCACCTTGACCACATTTTCATGGTTCATTGGTCGTTGATTATGTTTTAGGTAAATGTTAAGTTTGGTTGTTAGGTCTACATGTTTGTATTTCTATAAGCAATATGTTAAATACATTTGGTGTATGGAATGATTGTTAGCTGTACATGTCTGTCTGTTAAGTTTCATCTGACCCTGACCTCATTTACATAGATCATTGATAATGTTAAGCTTATATATATATATGATACTTGTAGTAAAACCTTTATCAACATAAAATCAATCATGACCAGTAAAGCAGATGAGACATTTCAGTGTGTGCACTTTTTTTTTTGTAGGTACATTTAGATTTATTCTAGACCATTGATATTTGATATGCTTTGAAATTGACCTTTTTGCATTTTACATGCACTTACATTAAACTTTTTTCTTTTTCTAGGTTAAGGGATTTTTTAGTTATTACATTTTCACTTCACCTGGCCAATGTGTGCTATAACTACGACGAGGTCTATTGTCAGTCATTATAGTTTGTCTGTAAAACTTTTTCAAACATATTCTCCTCTAAAACCAATAGGCCTATTATACCTCACTTGGTCACAATCACTGTTAGGGTGTCTTAAATTCAAATTTGTTTCTGGTTTTTCTGTTGTTGTCATTTGACAGCTGAGAAAGCCTTCAAAAGGCAGAAATCCCCTTTCAAAATCTGTGACAGCTGGACAAATTGAGAGTTTCTTTATAGTGTTAAAGGTTTGCAGAATCAATATAAAATGTTCATCTATTAAAACATTTTTGAATTTCTTTTCAGTGGTATATCCAGGGAACATGTGCAACACAAGGAACAGGACTTTATGAAGGACTAGATTGGCTATCAGGCGAACTATCAAAAAGATGAATAAGACAATTATTTTTTTTTATCTGTACATATTTATGTGAATGTTGGGTCCATGTTGACTGGTTGAAAACTGATTTAACAGTAATGAAAAATAACATTATAAATTTTGTTCCTATTGTTTATAACATTACAGCCTTTTTAGCTTGTCTGGCCTAGAAGGTCGAAGGAAACAGAATATAATTTGTCAGCCAAAATCTTTCATTCTTGTTTTTAATGATAGCACTTATAAAAACAAATATTGTTTGATTAAATTCATCTTATTTGTGGGAAGAAAGACACATAATAAGAAGACTAAAAATAATCTTGTCATAATTACAATATCCTGTCAAATTGCAGTTACTAGTGACGGGATGGTTTCACAATAGTTCACCATCACAAACTTTTAATGACCACAAATTTTTGAAAGAGTATAATGGTATTGAGCTGCCTTCGTTGTAATTGATATGATTTTATTGTTGGTGTATAGACACTACAAGTTTTTAAAAAAGTTTCTAGACCCATCTGTTTCTATAAAAAGTCCAGTATAGATCAAAAAATTATTGTTCATTAGATATTGATTTTTTTTTAGTAGAATTGAGTAGCATTTAGGGTTGTAGAGACTAATTGTGGTCCAATTTTTATTCTTATTTTTCTTAGTATGAAAATCCCAATCAAGACTTTTGTGGACAAAGGGGCCAGAAATTGCACTTTTTTATAGACAATCTTTATGTTTGGTTCAGTTTATATTGGGTATTTGCCATTAAGTTCCTCTTTGACATATTTTTAGGATTTTTATGTTGGATTTTGTGTCTGTCTCTCAATTGGATAGCAGTATTGAAGGTACCTAAGAGGTAAGACATCACAGCTTTACTCAGTTCATAGAATACATGGGTTTTTTTTTTTGAAGAATTTTTTTTCCTTCACTTTGTCTTATCAAAACCTTTACGAATATGGCACAAGTTTTGAAAAGCTTACAATTTTTGATTAATTGTGTAAGTCAACTATGCATTAGTTTGTGATTAGGTCAAATTAAGGGGAACCACAAGTGTTACAAAAATGTAGGTCAATGATATTTGGTGTGCAATATAATTGGCACATCATACTTCCATAGAGATTATTAGGCCCCCTCAGTCATGGTCTATTGACTTTGAAACATTTTAGTTACTTTATAGAGGAAATAACTACTGTTAGGTCAATGATATTAGTTTGCAGTTGTATTAGCATTGATTCATCTCATTTTCAGGGAGCTTATTTGGCCCTGCCTCCTTTGTCATGATGTATTGACTTTGAAACTTTTGCATAGTTTACAAGTCTGTAATTCGGTCACTTTAAGATGTTCAGGTCAGTTTATTAGGAACCACTTGTGATAAGTCAATGGTATTTGGTATTAGCATTGGCATTTCTTGTTTCTACAAAGGTTATTTTAGGAGCCAAAGGGCCTTAAATTGTGTCCAATATAATTCTTATCTGTGTCAAGTACTTATCATAATTCTGTGGTCAAATCATGCTGTGCTTGGCATAACCCTTTTAATGGTTTCACTAGAGAAAAGAACAGATATTAATGCTATCATTGTACATCTCCTGCACCAAACTTTGATGATCCACAACTGCTTGAAAACAGCTTGACATAACTCAATCGAAGTTGCTATGATTCTTATAAATGACATGAAGTTATGAACATGCTTTTCTAATATGAAAAAAATACAGATCCTGTGTCAACGCCTAGATTACAAGCATCTGATAATGCTGTGTTCTACTTTCTGTTTTAAAGACCTTTCAGGATCCTTTATATAACACCCCTCAAAAATTGATAGGCATGAATTTCATTGGCTGATGAAATAATTACCAGAACAGAAATTTGAACGGAATGTTGTCAGAATCTTTAAAGCAAGACATGGATCTGTATTTTAATCAGATTGATGCTTTTTTCATTTTTAAATCTGATTTTTTTGTTTTTCCATAAAAAAACATGAACAAAGCCATTGATGCTTATAGCAGTTTATTACTTCACAACTGCTTGAAAATTCCTCGACAAAATTCCACCAGACTTGTACAGATTCTTCTATAAAGTTATAGGTTCCTGAAAGGTCATCTGCTATTTTAATTTTTGATGTGAGTGATTTTTGGGGTTTTCCACACCAAAATATGGACTTTGCCATTTCTGCTTATATTAAATGGAGGTAACAGGCAACAAATGTCTTAGTTGGAAGACTCACACAATTTTTTCATGTAGATGTTGTTATTATTTGTATTAATATGTGAACGATGAAGCTTTAAGGTGCTTGCAAATACATTTTAAGCTATTGTAACAATTGTTTGTTAATGCTTTAATAATTGAATTCCCTTGCATGATTTGAATTTCATTCCCTTCTTATCCATCCTTTCAAAGTTCATTAATTTTATGAGAATTACAATACAATGTATTCAGATCACCTCCACATTATATACAAACATCAAAACACTAACATACTATGAATTTTCAATATCTGCAATAAATAGTATGAAAAGTATAATGATATTCTGTAGTTTTGTGCAGCAATTGATGATTGAAGAAAAAGTCAATTTTTAAACAGTGGTTGAAACTGGATTGTGGCATCAGTTGTTTTTATACGACCGCAAAAAAAATTTGTGGTCGTATATTGGTATGACGTTGGCGTCGTCGTTCGGCGTCGTCGTCCGAAGACACATTGGTTTTCGCACTCTAACTTTAGTTTAAGTGAATGGATCTTTTTGAAATTTGACCATAAGGTTAAATACCACAAAAGGAAGGTTGGGATTGATTTTGGGGGTTATGGTACCAACAGTTAAGGAATTAGGGGCCAAAAATAAGCATTTTCTAGTTTCCAGACAATAACTGTGGAACGGTGTATGGATCTCTCTGAAATTATACTACAAGTTTCCATACCACAAAGGGATGGTTAGGATTTGCTTTGGGGGGTTATGGCTCAAACCGTTTAGGAATTAGGGGCAAAAAAGGGGGAAAAACAAGGTTGTCCTGGTTAATGGACAAATACTTTAGTACAATACATAATTTAAAGCAGTGTAAGGGAGATAAATCAAATACATCATTGAAATTATCTCCCTTACACTGCTTTTAAATTATGTATAAAGTAATGGTTAATGAACAATAAAGATAATTTAAAACAGTGTAAGGGAGGTAATCCAAATACAACGTTTTGGTTACTTCCCTTACACTGCTTTTAAATTATGTTTAAAGAAATACATATTTATAAAGGAAGACCAGTAAAAATATCTGCAAATGTTGCATCTTTTTTTTTTACAAAAAAATCCATATGAAAGATTTGACACTATATTTTTAATTTTATTATAAAATAGATTAAGTTAGCACTATGGTAAATTTAAATGGGTAATTATGGTTGCCAACTCCATTGGAAATTTGAATTGAGATTATGACCATATCTTGAGGGAAAGAATTTTTTGGGGAAAAAGGGGGGGGGGGGGATAAAAAGAAATTGTGGGGGGTCAATTTTTTCTCATTTCAGATTTCAGAAATTAAAAAGAATTATTCTTCAAATATTATTTTTTTTTCAAATTTCAAATATTGAAAAATTTCAAGAAGTAATCTTTAATTGCACAGTATGGCGCATTAGATTTGTAAAATCTTTGATCACATTTATTTATTTGTTATGCCGAATCTAACAGTGTATTTAGATTTTTAATTTTCGGTCCGGTTTTCAAATTGGTCTACATTAAGGTCCAAAGGGTCCAAAATTAAAGTTTGTTTGATTTTAGCAAAAATTGATTATATGAGGTTCTTTGATATGCTGAATCTAAACATGTATTTAGATTTTTGATTTTTGGCCCAGTTTTCAAGTTGGTCCAAATTGGGGTCCAAAATTAAACTTTGTTTGATTTCAACAAAAATTGAATATATGGGGTTCTTTGATATGCTGAATCTAACCATGTATTTAGATTTTTTATTTGTGGACCCCGTTATCAAATTGGTTCATATGAGGTCAAAAGGGTCCAAAATTAAACTTTGTTTGATTTCATCTAAAATTGAATTATTGGGGCTCTTTGATATTCCAAATCTAACCGTGTATTTAGATTTTTAATTTTGGGTCCTGTTTTTTAAATTGGTCTACATTAAGGTCCAAAGGGTCCAAAATTAAACTTAGTTTGATTTTAACAAAAATTGAATTCTTGGGGTTCTTTGATATGCTGAATCTAAACATGTGTTTAGATTTTTGATTAAGGGCCCAGTTTTCAAGTTGGTCCAAGATAGGGTCTAGTATTTAAACTTTGTTTGATTTCAACAAAAATTGAATATATGGGGTTCTTTGATATGCTGAATCTCAACATGTATTTAGATTTTTGATTATGGGCCCAGTTTTCAAGTTGGTCCAAATTGGGGTCCAAAATTAAACTTTGTTTGATTTCAACAAAAATTGAATATATGAGGTTCTTTGATATGCTGAATCTAACCATGTATTTAGATTTTTTATTTGTAGGCCCCGCTATCAAATTGGTTCATATTGAGGTCAAAAGGGTCTAAAATTAAACTTTGTTTGATTTCATCTAAAATTGAATTATTGAGGTTCTTTGATATGCCAAATCTAACCGTGTTTTTAGATTTTTAATTTGGGTCCCATTTTTTAAAATTGGTCTTCATTGAGGTCCAAAGGGTCCAAAATTAAACTTAGTTTGATTTTAACAAAAATTGAATTCTTTGGGTTCTTTGATATGCTAAATCTAAACATGTGTTTAGATTTTTGATTATGGGCCCAGTTTTCAAGTTGGTCCAAGATAGGGTCCAGTATTTAAACTTTGTTTGATTTCAACAAAAATTGAATATATGGGGTTCTTTGATATGCTGAATCTAAACATGTATTTAGATTTTTGATTATGGGCCCAGTTTTCAAGTTGGTCCAAATTGGGGTCCAAAATTAAACTTTGTTTGATTTCAACAAAAATTGAATATATGAGGTTCTTTGATATGCTGAATCTAACCATGTATTTAGATTTTTTATTTGTGGGCCCCGCTATCAAATTGGTTCATATTGAGGTCAAAAGGGTCTAAAATTAAACTTTGTTTGATTTCATCAAAAATTGAATTATTGGGGTTCTTTGATATGCCAAATCTAACCGTGTTTTTAGATTTTTAATTTGGGTCCCATTTTTTAAAATTGGTCTTCATTGAGGTCCAAAGGGTCCAAAATTAAACTTAGTTTGATTTTAACAAAAATTGAATTCTTA